ATGCCCAAAGAAAAAGAGAGTTAGTTTAAAACACTTGTCCTAAAAGCTTGTATTAATATTTACATAACCTCTAATTAAAAAGAAATGTTTCAAAACATACTGGTCCAAATCTTGTTTTGGGATGCTATAGTGCTGAGCTAACAGGCAATGCAACACATTTCCAGATTTTAGTCAGTGAAATAGTCTTATACCAAAACCAACTGCCAAGTCCTTGGGCAGGTACCTCTTTCATTTGTGTGGTCTGGCACCAGTGTATTCAGTCTCCACAAGATGAAGCCAAGAAAGAGCTACTATGCTCCAGGTTCCTCTTTATGGCTATAAACTACAGGTTACGAAAGGAAAAGTTTCTCCCTGAAGGATGTTAAATTAGCAGATAAGAAAGATTTCTGAATTATTCTCAGCCCCCTTTTATTTAGCATAACATTACAGAAGTCAGATCCTATAACTTAATTATGACTTTCTTTTAAATTCTCAACATTTCTCAACAGGTCTTTTGCTTCTAGACATTTTTCCCTTCTCCCCTTTCAAAACTTCTTGTAATAGAAATGATGATATTAAGCTAACAGCTAAATAAGTCTATGCTATTGGTTTCAATGTAAACTTTACTGTTTCTTATCTGAATTTTATGAATTCAGAAGTTAATTATCTATATATTTAATAAGAGCTTACTCTCTACTAGGCATTGTTCTAGAATCTATTAATAGATGATGGAATACAAAAGCAAACCTTCTAAGTTCCTGTCCTCAAGGGATGTACATTCTTTTGTAAGGGTAAAACAAGAAAAAAGAAAACTCCATTCAATTCAATTTAATTCAAATTAATCTCTTATATGTTGAAGAATTTTTTCCTTTGGAAAAACACCTTGAATTTTATAAAGAAATGACCTATAAAAGAAATTTAGTCACTGAAACTTTCTTTGAAAGAATGTACTTTCAAGCAACCCTCCTAAAATACATAGAATGAAGCTAGTATTACTTCAAGCTAGAAAAAGTGAGTCCTTCTTTCCCCTCAGCCTACAGAAAATCCATGTGAAATGTTTTTATGTTAAGTTTGATAAGGTAAATCACTAATTTGAAAAGTAAAAAATTTTGTTAAGAAAATCTGTTCTCATTACAGCTATACTACCCGAATGTGCCAGATCTCATCTGATCTGAGAAGCTAAGCAGGGTCAGGCCTGGTTAGTAATTGGTTGGGAGAAAATCTGTTCTCTGTAGAATTAGTAAAGAAATAGGTGAAGGAAATTAGATTGCTAAGTCAAGACTTCTGCAGGGAGCGCTCACACACTTCTTTATGTACAACCTTATATTTATAGCTCACTTTAGAAAATTTGAAATACTGTATCGTAGAAACACCAGCTATGGCCTACTAATTATAACTGAATGTGTTAAACCAATGGCAATTAATATTTTGATGAAGTAAGATCAATAGTGCATAATTAAAAAACAAAATCGGTAGCAATGAACTCTGATTAAGAGTTATTCTACTATAATAAAAGAGAAAAGAAAAGGGAAACTTCAAGAATAAATCTATTTGAAGGTTTGTTCATTTTTCAGTCTTCAGGTAAAGATACGTATGGGCCTTGTTTCCTATAACACTAACATTTTCTTCTGATTGGCTAGAAAAGGGTGTTCAACTAAAATATAATCCTGTCCATGTTCATGTATATGCAGGAGTTGTTTCCTGCTAAGGCAGGCCAAGAAGTTTGTATGTTCTGTTAAAATAAAGTAGGCAGGTTCATTTAGAGGAGACTGGTGAACTACATCCAGTGAATCCAGGGAGTGTAAGACCACCAATATGTGTGAACTTATTAATCATAATAATTATTATTTTTCTTATCAGATTGCTTTATTTATTTATTTTTGCATTTTAATTTCTTTATTGATTGAGGTATTAGGATTTCCTTAGTCAAACCTCCAAGGTGTGGCCCCACATGCTTCATGATGACAAATAACTTCCCCTCTATGATGTAGACTAGGTAAAGAGAATTAGCACAATGGTTTCTAAGCTTTAGCTTTGTCTGGCATGCAACCTTCTAACCCAAAGAGCTTTTTGGTTGGTATTGTGATTTCACCTTCTTCAGGATGAAGTAATTTGAAAAGCTTCCCATCTTCACAGTATATACCCTATTTCCCAACTTACCTCATCATCCTTCTTGGCTGTTTGCTAGTGAGAGGTCTACACATGTTCCCATCATTTTGAGAAGTATAACTCCAAAACATAGACTTTCCAAGGAGAACCAACTCCAAAGGAGTGAGATCACTAATAAGCATGGGCAGTGAATCCAGGGAGTGCAAGACCACCAATATGTGTGAACTTATTAATCATAATTATTATTTTTCCTAAGAAAAGGATTTCCTTAGTCAAACCTCCAGGGCATCACATCAAAGAGAGATAATGCTGCAGCTGGACTATGTTTTCCAGCCAAATTGCTCAGAAAGGAGATTCTAGACAGTGTCCTGGCAACTGTTTGACTCAGCAGCAATCCATAACAGACAGAAAAATAATTCTTTAGACTAACTTGTTTAAAAGTCTTTCTTTACTTCTTATTTTTAAGGACAGTTTGAGAGTGATGTCAAAATGCTATGGGATAACGTTGGTAGGCACTCTATAAGAATTACTGACCCTGAAAATTCAGAGCATCTATATATATAAAAGCCTAAGCAACTGTAGACCATTCAACGTGACTGACCACCAGGGAGGCAGTTGCTCAATACAGAGGCATGGAAATATAGAACAGATTGATGATTCTCAGAGGGAAGGGGGATGGGTGGAGGGTGGGAAGAGATTAACCAAAGATCTTTTATGCATACTATGTACTGGTAGGGTCCCTCGGCCTGGCCTGTAGGGATTGGGCCAAAACCAGTTGGGTCCCTCGGCCTGGCCTGTGGGAATTAGGCTGAAACCAGCAGTTCAACATCCCCCGAGGGATCCAGATTTTGAGAGGGCGCAGGCCATTAGTGCAAAAATCCATGCATCAGGCCTTTAGTTCTTCTATAAGTAGAAACAAAAGGTTGTGGTTCACAGTAAAAATTGCTTAAAAAACAAACACAACTATATATTTATATTTAATTATCACAAAAATGTATATCCCCAATCTATTCGCAGAGTTCTTGGTCAATTTTCTATTTCCAATTTGATGTAAATCTCTATAAACTTACCAGGACACTGTAAAATCACTCTAGATATAATACTTTATTAATAAACTCACAGCAAGAGAAATTTAGTTATATGCCCTGGAAGTTTTCCCAAAATGTATTTAAAAATTATAAAAGTGACTATTAACACACATGAAAAAAAAAAAAATCCACAAAACCCAAACCCCATTATGCCAGAAGCATAGCAAGTCACACAGGAATTGTGAAATGAGAAACCAGAAGGCACACCAAATGATTTTATGAATTACAGAGAAACATGATGTGAGAATGATTGTGCAAAAAACAATGAAAGCAAACAAACAAACAAACAAACTAAAAACATTTCTATAGTTAAGGAAAGCTGTTTCTCACCGTTCTGAACAAAATGGCTGAACTAAGATCATCTGATTGGCTATGCCCATATACCCTCCTCCTCATCCTATGGGGAGAGAGATGATGAAGGGAACAATGCCCCAGAGCAGCATGGGAATGAAAAAGAGTTGGTTAGTATTTAAAACAAAGACATAAGCATAAGTAGTAGAAGAAAATGGACTCTAATTTCTTGACTGTTTTTTCGTTTGTTGTTACATTTCTATGCTTCCTACCTTTCCAAGATGTTATCTCCATTCCAGGGCTTGACTGGGCAAAATGATCAAATTGGAGACTTTTATTATTTGCCTTTTTTCAATCTTTCTCCATTTTTGTTTGCCTCTCACTACTCCCAGGCATACAATTACTTTTGTATTTATTAGCAAAACCTGTTTTAAGGAAAGGATCTAATAATACTCATCTTGTATACACTGGCACACATTTAATCCCAGGTGTCCAGAAGCAGGCGGAGAAAGCATAATGACTCCTTGGCAGAACAAGAATGCTGACCTCAGGCAGACAACTTTACATTTTGCCTACATTAAAGATAGGCTTGCCTAAAATATAAGGTTTAACTCAATTGGTTTAGTAAATGTCATCTACCTTCTGAATCTTAGGGGGAAAAAAGCAATTTGGATATTATTGCTGCTTTCATCTGCAATATTTTTTCTTCTTCTCCTAAGATAACACCATGGCCATTGTTTAGTAGAGATGTTTAGTAGAGAAGTTTCATTCAACTTTTGATCATATGGACATAATTATTTAACTATTATTTTACTCCCTCCACAGCTATTATTTTTAAGATTGTGATGGAGATGTTGAAATCTGATTTTTGGCAATGGGACATGAGGTAATCTGTTCACCACTCTCCCCCATCCATCATTTTCAAGATCTTGGGAGAGTTCCATTTTTTAAAAAACTACATAGAGTTGAATATGGTTCCCTTCAGACTCATCAAAGCCTCTTTTGCATTGATGAGAAGTGGAAGGCAACAATTTCCTTTGAAAATGACATATACTAAAGGGATCCACCAAGGTGATGGAGTGAAAAAACTGTTTCAATCTTCATATTTAATAGATGATGAGCAGAGACTTTAAAATTTGCAATTAAAGAATAGCTTCCTTTGCACTGAATTGTGCCTCATTGAGCTCACAAGACTCTTATTTTCCTAATAAGGCATTATTTCTTTAGTAAAAAAGCAGGACTGTTACAAATTAGTATGCGCCTTTGAGAAGATTAAGTTTTTTTTTTTCTCAGCCAAATTCAAGGATTCTTTATTGTGTTCAAATTTTTTACTACCTCCTCTTAATATATTCAGAATCATCTATTATCTTCCTGTACAGAAATTGAATGTGTTTTTAAAAAATTGATGGAATTTTTAAAAACTGATTATTTTTCTAATCTATATCTTAGAATCTGTAGCACAACAATACAAAATACATAAAAATAGAAGCATATCAATTTTTTTTTAAATAAAACATTCAAGAGCAGATTTACCTGGTCTGGGGAGGGTTTATGATTGGTTTGATTGGAATGAGAGGATTTGAAGTAGTCGTCCTCATAGTTGTCGGCCATTAACTTCATTCGATTTTGTGTCTAAGAAGAAATGATTCATAAGGTTACATTTAGATAAAAATTCTATGACACTGTAAAGTAACAAAGGTCTTAAGAATATCATAAGGATAAAACTAATCCTGTCTGAAATAAAATAAACAATTTCTGAGGATACTAGAAGCCCAGTATACGAATTCATGCATGGGTGGGGTGGTCTGGCCAGTCCAGCCCCAATCAGGGTGGATCAGGGCCAGACCTGTAGAAAGGAGGAGGCAGCGGGAGGTTGGCTGGCTGGTCCACCCCAGTCAGGGTTTGATCAGGGCTGGGACGGCTGAGGAGAGGGGCAGAGGGTGATTCGCCCAAGGGCCTAACCCTCAATTGGAGTGGATGGCCAATTGGGAGCCAGGCCAGCCATGGGAAGGGGCTATAGACAGTGGGCCGGCCGGCCTGTCCCCGAATGGGGTGTGTAGGGGGCTTATCGAGGGCGGGGCCAGGCAGGAGGAGGGGCTGGAGAAGGTTGGCCAGCTGGCCCAGCTCCTATTGGGGAATGGGAAGCAATCTGGGGTGGTGCCAGACAGGGGGAGGGGCTGTGGGCTGATTAGGTGGGACAAGCTGATCAGGGCGGGGTTGGCTGGGCAAAAGGGCGACAGGAGGGGGTTTGACCAGCCACCCTGCCCTTGATTGGGGTGGGAGAGGCCGATCACTGGTGGGGCCGACTAAGGGAGGGGCCTCGGGAGGTTGGTCAGGCAGCCCCACCCCCCGATTGGGCCACAGTGGGCGTCATAGCAACTGGTTGTTCTGTCATTATGGTCTCTGGCTTTTTATATAGATGGGGGAGGTTTAGGCATAGCTATTGACTGCATTGTATCCCCCATCCCCAAATTCACATCGGCACCCTATCCCCTAATGTGCCTGTATATGAAGACCAAATCTTTAGGAGGTATTTAAGATTAAATGAGGTCACAAGAGTGAGGCCCTAATTGGACAGAATTGTGATCCTGTAAGATCAGAGATACCCATTCCTCCCACACTGCCTTTTTCTCTCAGCCATGTGAGGACACAGTAAGAATGTGGCTTTTTCAGCCAGAAAGAAAGCTCTCATCAGAAACTAAATCAGCTGGCACCTTGATCTTGGACTTCCCAGCCATCATATTGTGAGAAAATAAATCCTGTGTGTAAACCACCAACTCTATGGTATTTTGTTATGGCAGTCTGAGCAAACTAAGACAAGATCATAAATTGGTACAGGATTTTTTCTTTTCTTTTTTGGGGAATGGGGGAGGTAATCTCAAATTAAGAAGTTTAAGCAATGCTTGTTTCTACAATAAAACCTATATTATCCTATAGATAGGATAGGACTCTAATTCTATTTTTCACTTCATGATATACAGACCCATCTTTCTCCCTTCCTTCCTCCCCCTTCCTTCCTTCCTTCCTTCCTTCCTTCCTTCCTTCCTTCCTTCCTTCCTTCCTTCCTTCCTCCCTCCCTCCCTCCCTCCCTCCCTCCCTCCCTCCCTCCCTCCCTCCCTCCCTCCCTCCCTCCCTCCCTCCCTACCTCCATATCTATCTATACTGAGTGGCCAGATTATTATGATCTCTGAAAGCATAATAATCTGGTCACTCAGTGTGTGTGTGTGTGTGTGTCTGTGTGTGTGTGTGTGCGCGCGCGTGCGCACGCACACGCTCAGTGCACAAAATTTGTGCATGGGGGGCAGGGGTGTCCCTCAGCCCAGTCTGCACCCTCTCCAATCTGGGATCCCTTGAGAGATGTCTGACTGCCTGTTTAGGCCTGATCCTAAATAGGAAGTTAGACATTCCTCTCACAATCTAGGACTGCTGGCTCCCAATTCATTGACTGCCTGCCTTCATGATTACCCCTAACCGCTTCTGCCTGCCAGCCTGATCACCCCCTAACCACTCCCCTGCCAGCCTGATTGAGCTCTCCTGCCAGCCTGTTTGCCCCTAACTGCCCTCTCCTGCAGGCCTGGGTCCCCCACAACTGCCCTTCCCTTCAGACCTGGTCGCCCCCAACTTTCCTTCCTCTGCCTGCCTGGTCACCTCTACTGCCTTCCCTCAATTGCCCTCTTTTGCAGGCCTGATTCCACCCAATTGCCCTCCCCTGCTGGCCATCTTGTGGCAGCCATTTTGTGTCCACATGGGGGCAGCCATCTTGTATGTTGGAATGATGATCAATTTGCATATTACTCTTTTATTAGATAGGATAGATTCCTGGTGCACAAGTGGGGGCCAGCTGATTTGCCCTAAAGGATGTCCCAGATCAGGTTGGGGATTCCCTTGGGGTGTGGAGCAGCCTGGGCGAGGAGCCTGTGGTGTTTGCAGGTGGGCCACGTCCCCTGGCCACTCAAGCAGAGGCCCTGGTATCTGGGATTTCTTTTTTTTTTTTATTTTTTTTTATTTTTTATTTTTTTTTTTTGAAGGAATATTTAATATTAACATTGTGAGTTATTATCTTTTGCATATCCAACTTACACATTTAAAACAAATCGTCATTTATATTTACAGTATACAGATGCAAAGCTTTAATTTCCCACTAAATCATCACTTTCTTAAAATGGTACATGTGATGTTATGAAATTAGCTATTAAGCATTCGAAATAGTGGAAAAGAGGTCCTTTCTTCAGTCTTTTTTTTTTTTTTTTTTTAATATATATATATTTTTATTTTATTTTTTTTCCCCCCTTCTCTCCCTACTTCACATCCCTTCCCTACCCAGAGTTTTATGTCCATTGATTGTACTTATGTGCATGTATAAAAGTCCTTCGGTTGATCTATTATCTCCCCCAGATCTTCCTCCCCTCCCCGCTGTAATTTGACAGTCTGCTCGTTGATATACTGTCTCTATATCTATCTTTTGGTTCATCAGTTTATAATGTTCTTAATTATCCACAAATGAGTGAGGTCATGTGGTGTTTTTCTTTCAATGACTGGCTTATTTCACTCAGCATGATGTTCTCCATTTCCATCCAAGTTGCTGCAAATGATGAGAATTCCTTCTTTTTTATGGCAGCATAGTATTCCATTGTGTAGATGTACCAAAGTTTTTTGATCCAATCATCTGCTGATGGGCACCTAGGCTGTTTCCAAATTCTAGCTATTGTAGATTGTGCTGCTATGAACATAGGGGTGCATATATCCTTTCTGATTGGTGTTTCTAGTTTCTTGGGATATATTCCTAGGAGTGGGATTACTGGGTCAAATGGGAGTTCCATTTTCAGTTTTTTGAGGAAACTCCACACTGTTCTCCACAGTGGTTGCACCAGTCTGCATTCCCACCAGCAGTGCACAAGAGTTCCCTTTTCTCCACAGCCTCGCCAACACATGTCGTTTGTTGATCTGTTGATGTTGGCCATTCTGACAGGTGTGAGATGGTACCGCATTGTTGTTTTGATTTGCATCTCTCGGATAATTAGTGACTTTGAGCATGTTTTCATGTGCCTTTTGGCCTTCCTTCTGTCTTCTTTTGGAAATATTCTATTTAGGTCCATTGCCCATTTTTTAATTGGATCATTCATCTTCCTTTTATTTAGTTGTATAAGCTGTTTGTAGATGTTGGAGATTAAACCTTTATCAGTGGTAACATTTGCAAATATGTTCTCCCACATCGTGGGCTTTCTTGTTGTTTTGTTGATGGTTTCTTTTGCTGTAAGAAAGCTTTTTATTTTGATGTAGTCCCATTTGTTTATTTTCTCTTTAGCTTCCATTGCCCTAGGGGCAGTATCAGTGAAGAAGTTCTTTTGGCATATGTCTGAGATTTTGCTGCCCGTGGATGCTTCTAGTATTTTTATGGTTTCCCATCTGATGTTTAAGTCCTGTATCCATTTTGAGTTTACTTTTGTGTATGGTGTAAGTTGGTGATCCAGTTTCATTCTCTTGCATGTATCTGTCCAATTTTCCCAACACCATTTATTGAAGAGACTGTCTTGACTCCATTGTATATTCGTGCCTCCTTTGTCAAATATTAATTGAGCATAGTGATTTGGGTTGATATCTGGGTTCTCGATTCGATTCCATTGATCTATATGTCTGTTTTTGTGCCAGTACCAGGCTGTTTTGAGAACAGTGGCTTTGTAATACAGTTTGAAGTCTGGTATTGAGATCCCTCCTACTTTACTCTTCTTTCTCAGGATTGCTGTGGCTATTCGGGGTCTTTTATTGTTCCAAATGAACTTTTGAAGAGTTCTTTCTATGTCAGTGAAGTATGCCGTTGGTATTTTAATGGGGAGTGCATTGAACCTATAGATTGCTTTAGGAAGTATGGACATTTTGATGATGTTGATTCTACCAATCCATGAACATGGTATGTTCTTCCATCTGTTTACATCTTCCTCTATCTCTTTTTTCAGTGTCATGTAGTTTTCCGCATATAGGTCCTTTACTTCCTTAATTAAATTTATTCCTAGGTATCTTAATTTTTTTGGTGCAATGGTAAATGGAATTGCTTTTTTAGTCTCTGTTTCTATAAATTTGCTGTTGGTGTATAGAAATGCCATAGATTTCTTGGCGTTAATTTTGTATCCTGCTACATTGCCAAATTCATTTATTAAGCCAATTAGTTTTTTAATGGAGTCTTTTGGTTTTTTTATGTACAATATCATGTCGTCTGCAAATAAGGATAGCTTTACTTCTTCTTTTCCAATTTGGATGCCTTTTATTTCCTCCTCTTGTCTAATTGCAATGGCTAGTACTTCCAGTACTATGTCAAAGAGGAGTGGCGAAAGTGGGCATCCCTGTCTTGTTCCTGTTCTTAGAGGGAATGGTTTTAGTTTTTGCCCATTGAGTATGATGTTGGCTGTGGGTTTATCATATATAGCTTTTATTATGTTGAGGTATGATCCTTGTACTCCCACCTTGTTGAGAGTTTTTATCAGGAAAGGGTGTTGGATTTTATCAAATGCTTTTTCTGCATCAATTGATATGACTATATGATTTTTATCTTTCAACTTGTTTATGTGATGTATCACGTTTATTGATTTGCGGATATTGTACCATCCTTGCATTCCTGGAATAAATCCTACTTGGTC